GCTACTAGGGTCTCTTGGCATCACTACTAGTAACAAGAAGCTACTAGGAACAATTTTGGATCGTTGATCGTTGCTCCCTTTTGGATCGTTTTCGCTTCGCCTCCGGAGGTGGGCTGCTTGGCCCTTCCGAACCCTGGGCGAAACGACTGGAACCGCTTGACAAGACAGACGCAACTGGAGACGACGGGAGAGTAGAAGAACTTCATGTCACATGTGTCACATGAGTCATGTGTCTGTGCATGTGAAGGAATATATTAGAAATGTATATGATGAGTGATAAACACACATCATATATCATCATAATATACAAATTTGTTCCAACATGTTCTCCACATCGGCAGGAAGAATGACTGTGGAGCAACATGGATCAGCCAAGAGTCCAGTTTCGTGGACGTTCGCGGGCACTCACGGCGTGTGCGAGGTTGCTGATTCCGCTGAAGATCTCACCTTGCATCCTGCAAACTCAAGACATGCCGGAAAGGTCTTGCACTTAAAGCTGTCATACGTACGTAAGAAGGGTCTAGGAGTCTAGAATACCTCCAAGTCCATCACCAAGTCCAGCCTGTCAGCTTCTGCATCAGCTTTGGGCGTGCTGAGTACCCTGGCAAACTGGCTTGTCCCTGTTACTCTTTACCGAGGCCAAATGAAGCCTTAAAGAAAAGCCGATCATGGCATTGCTTGTTCTGCCTCGAGGCTGAGAGCCGCCTGTCCAAGTTGTTTGCACCTCTCCTCTTGGAAGCCTCCTGCATGAAGACATAGAAATAAGCAGCTCCAAGGAAGCAAATACAGGAAATCTATTGACATTTCTTCAAGCTTCCTTTTCCCGGTTCACTGCTGCTCCTCTTCCCTCCTCTTCCGCTCTTCAGTCTTCGCTTGTAATGCCAGGGCCCAATCTGATGGCCTTGGCACCAAGGACAAACCAAACAAAGAAAAAAATCAATAAACCGAGAAGCAATGGCCTCCAACTACTAGCGATGGCCTCCAACCGAATAGCCATGGCCTCCTACTGTGGGCACTGGCTTTGCTCCACACTCGTGGACTTGGCGTCGCACTGTGAGCTGAAGTGGCAGACCACCTGAGCGTGAAACACAGCCGCATGTCTCACGATCCAGCCATGATCGTCGATTTGCCCGTCATTGGCCGTGGCATCCTGCCACGGCTAATCACTGAAAGAATAAGCATTGACACAGCTAGGAGGAAAGGGTATCGCTACTAGGAGCAAGGGCGCTACTCTAGGGACAAAGGCCTTAAAGATGTAAAAGCGACGTTTAAGGCTCCCTGCTGGGGGAGGTGGCCATGGCTTGTTGTGCGACCATGGGGGCACGACCACCAGACCGAACTTTGCAGCTCTTGCTTCGTCCGCCTTCACCTTGGGGCTTGGGTGATTTGCCTTTTCATTCCATGATTCTGAATTCTGCTGTTTTTAGATCTAGAATTGAGAATATATAGCAAAATCATGTTTTTCTCTGTCACTGAGTTGGCAAACGACCTGGTCTCAGGCCAACACCATCTTCCCCAGCGTGGTATTGGCCAAGACCTGCGAGCGCTCTTCGTCACACGTTCCACGCGTTCCATGTCCGATTCGCCGTGTTGTGCGGCGGGCTGCGTTCATGTCCGTGTCCAGCCTCTCGAACGGGTGGCTGCTGAATCTTTGGGCCTAAGATGAGAGGGACCAAGGGACAAAGATTGGTGTGGCGAGAAACTACCAAGTAAAAGACCAAAATTGTATCAGGGCGCTATTGACACGAACCTGTTCATTCCGAAGCTGGCCAGGAAAGCTGAGTTTGCCAAACAATCGCCGGACTGCCGGATGAGTTGCTTATGCACTCCACACGCTTGCTCTCAGCTCTCAGCTGAGACTCCTTCAAGATTTGTTTACATCAAACTCAGCCAGGATCATCCAGAACCTAAATCCTCAATCCCATCCGCAATGATCATCATTCAGAAATGCCTCCCAAAATCCGACCAAGAGCAGCCATAAACTCCCTTCCCTGAGTCCCCAGCTTTTTGTCCGCTTCACCTCGGCATCACCGCAGCGCAGCGCAGCCGTGTGCAGAAGTTCCGCTTCATCGCTTCGCGACGCCATACCGTTGCCAAACAAGAGGCTGTGTCCGCCGGCACCTGCAGAGTGCAAAACGTCCCAACTTTCATAAACTGTCCATCTAAATTGCATGGGCGCTTCTTCCGAGAAGGCAGCCCATGCTCTGATAGGCAGTATACTCAGTACTATTCAGTACTTCATGCTTGTCTCACATAGTGAACAGGTAACCTCAGGTTCGTTCTAAGCCGAATCGTCTTGGAGCCTTGAAAGGTTCGCTGGGTTTGGGGATTGCCCAAATCTCTTGCCCATTCAGACAGCTCTGCGCCGTTACAAGTCAAGATAGGTTGGATAAGCATAGTGGTGTTCTAAAAATATCCTTAGGCTGAGGCTGTTTCCTTAAGAAACTGTCCATATCAGGCCTCCTCCTCAAATGAACTCTCTGACCTGCAAGGACCAGGAATCCATCAGATGCGCTCGAGTGTTGCGAACATTCATTTTTCTGTTGTTCCATAATAAGGTTCAAACGGGCAAAGCTTCAAAGTGTCGGCTTCGCTGACGTCGCTCCGCACTCTCCATCTCAGTAAGTCGGGAATGGTTTTGCTTTCTTGTGGTCTACCAAGGCACTGCATGATGCCATGGTTGAGAATGGGGTCTTCTGCTCTAACAAAAGCTGAAAGAAGCCTTCTGGTTACCAACAAAACACATGCAAGAAATTGTTAAGTCCATCGCCCATCGCCAAACCAAGTCTCGCAAGAGTAAGGGAAGGGGTCCGAAGTGGGTGCGAGCAATGATTTGACCAGTTCTTTCGTTCTAACCTTTGGGCTTCTAAGACCCCAGTAAATCTCCGTGTTCCGCTCAAAAAGCCCTTCTGAGTGGGCTATTTACTGGCTCCATCCGTCGCACCAAGGCCCCACACAGCGCTGGATGCTGCGACCGGCCTCGCAGCATCGACAGGTGTCGGATCGTCTTCTCGAAGCGGACGAGAGACTGGTCGAAGACACCAAGCGACTGGAGAACGGCATGGTTTTCTCATGTTTTCTCGTTCCAGCCTGGCGACCAGAGTTCGCTCTCCTCAGAGGTATCTCTGCCTGGTGGAGAACGGCAAACTGAAATACCATAATATATATATATATACAGTCATTAGAAGAAAAAAACATATTGGTTTGCCGAGTTCAAGAACTGAGTGGGAGAGCCTGTATAAGGATCCAGATTCAATACATCATGTTCTCTGGCCGAGCGCACTCAGTTTCTCCTAGCCAATTGCGCCATGGCTGGCCTGCTCGGAGATGAAGCACCTGTCGCAGCGCTCCAGCAATGGCCATTCGTGAGACCTGGGAGAAGAACAAAAAAGACACGGAAAAATATCGCAGTGTTCGTCGAAGTGTTCGTCGAAGTGTTCGAACACTTCATTCGTTTCGCCACTTGTGTTTTTACTCTCTGAGTCGGAAACGGCTTTCACTCGGATGCCCAGTGTCACCTGGCACGCCCCACCCATCAGCCGCATCCAGTAGTTTCTGGTGCAGAATATGTCCTAAATGTCCTAAACCACTCCAAGCGCGGCAGCCGAGCCGGACCTCGCGCTTGCTGACCTGAAGTACCGTGATATGGCAAAATGGCCAAACCAATATGCACAAACAACTGAAGTTGAGTAATATACAGGCAATTTTGCAGGATCCACTCACACTGACCAAGATACAAAGCACATTGGAAGGGAAGGCTGGAAACCATTTCACTCCATGGACCGCCAGTTTCCGTATTTCAGAACCATGGACCGCTGACGCAGACTTTTCTCCACACGGAAGTAGATTGCAAAACAGGCCGAATTCTCATACAGTGAATGGCTTGAACACGGTCGCAGCGTGCCAAAATGCAGAAAATACGATGTGCTGAAGGATGTGAAATGATTTTTCTCTAATGATCGATCGACGTCAGCCAAGCCATGTGCAGGGGTGTTCAAATCAGCACTGCCATTTTGCAGTGCTAAGTTCATATTAATGGCACACCGGAAGGTGTGTTCATATTATATAAGCTGACTTGGTAAAGGGTCAAAAGTCAAAACGCAAGGAGAAGTACAATTCTTGAAATCGGCGCTTGAATTGTGATGTCCACTGTCCACATTTAAAGTCCGCACAATCTCGCAGCATTCCTGTGTCGGATTGTCAGGGCTGAAATGCAAACAAAAGCCGGACAGCACCGTCAGAATGCGTTTCACGAGTCAGTCCTGACAGCAAGCCACTGGTACTGAGTAGTATTCTGGCATGCGTACCTCAAGGAATTGCAGGCTTGCTGACGAAAAACTATTACTTATACTTTACTTAGAGTTATCCCCCTTTGGAAGAAGGCAGGGCACATCTTTTGACAGACTTTCCTGACAAGCGCTGCCTAACATGCGCGCTGACGCATTGTTTTCTTGCGTCAAGTCTGGTACGTGTCCTGACACCTAATTACCATAGAGGCTGGACATTGTTCTGGAACGTTTCTGACGCTCGTCCTGCCGTGAAGCCTGACATGTGTTCTGGCAAGTCTTCTAACATGTACTTCTGACATATGCTCTGGCAGTGCTCTGGTGTTGTGACATAAGATCCGAATTCGGCTCTGATATGTGTTCTGCCGTGTATTCTAATGCTTGTTCCGTCATTTGGCAGTCTATGCAGTGATGCCTGCATTCTTCCTGGCATCTTCCAGCACTGTTTCTGGCATATAATACTCTGACATCCTCTCTGGAATTCTATTTGGCATATCTGATCTATCTGGAATGGCATGTGTTCAGGTCCGTGCGTGTCCGAGCTCCAAGCTCCCTAAAAAGTGATAAAAAAGTGCGCGGGGTCCCTGTGCCCAGACGGAGCTAGCGCTACCATAAAAAACTCTCCCTGCCAAGATCTCTGGCGCCTTCTGCATCGATCGGTCGCCAAGATGCTCGTCCAGCTTGGCAACAATCACTGACCATGCGTAAGAACCTTTAGATGCCAGGTGCTGGAGCGGGATCCTGCATTGGACATCTTGGATGGCAGGGGGGGCACTCCACCGACATGCCCTCAGTAAAATGTTCTATCATAGATGACCATAGAAAACATATATACAATAACAATAACAATAGTTCTGATGCCCGCTCGAGGCAAGTCTAGGCAAAAGTAGGGAGGTCTTGCACGTACAGTGGACCATATTGTCCAACCTAGCGATGGCCTCCAACCTACTGGGGCGATGGCCTCCAACCTACTAGCGCTGTGCTTTGCAAGGGGGACGCAACTCCATCAATCGACTGGTCCTGCATGTGTTGAAAGAGCTCGTCTACGGCGCATTTGGACGTCTTGCGGGTGTGTTTCTGAGGACGAGCACGCTTTTGTGGCTTTGCATCAATGAGGTCATGAACGAAGGGGCAAGTGGCGAGAGAGCATCCAAAGCGGCTCGCATAAAACACACAAGCGTGGCACTTGCTTGCAGTCTCCTCAGCCATCTGCTTTGCAGGCTTCGTAGGCTGCAAACACTCATCGCATACTTCCTCTGCATTGTTTTTGTACTTCAATTTGAGCTCCGAGGGCTTCTCAATGGGCAGAAGCTCAATTCGAGAGTCTTCGAGCCATGTGTCACCACAGGACCATGAAGCACTTCGTGCTCGTGGTCGGATCTCCTCTCACAGAGCAGGGAACAAGTCAAAAAATGAGCTTTGAGGATGTTCAACATGAGCTTCAACAAGGCTCCATCGGTTCCATCGCTTCAAGGCTTTACGCTAAGTTGTCTTGTGATCTTCTGAATGGCAGGCCTCACCCTCTTGGACGTGCAAGAAGGTGTTCTTTTCTACGATGAAATAGGAAGCAATCTCCGCCATGACGAAGACACGGCCGTGAGTACAAATGTTTTATTTATTTTTATTTACTCAAACAGGAAAACTTGAGCCAGAGAACTTCAGTGAGGCTCCAAAAATATCTTTCTGACGTCTGATATGGTCCACTAATCATGGTCGAAGTGCTGACTGAATGACTGAATGAGTTGGTTTCAACAAGAATCAAGTGCAAAAGGAAACAATGCCTTGCTTATAGACCCATGTGCCAAGTGCTCCCAAGATTCTCTTCAGTTGAAACACGCGCTCCGCTACTATTTCTGCCCATCTGGGAGTTCCACCAAGCACGTCCGAAGCCACTCGGAGGCCTTTTGGGCCAGTCGTGTGGTGGTCGCATCGAGGTCTGGGGGTCTCCCTGTGGGTTTTGAGGGAAACAACGATGAAAAACTATCTGGCAAAAGCTGTTCGGTGTTCACGTCCGGCAAAAGCTCGAGCTTGTTCCACCCAGCAAGACCCGTGACTGCGTTGGTTACTCAACGTTGCTATGGTAAATAAGGCCTTATTGCATTTACCCTATCCGCGAATTGCCCTGAACAAAAATCATAATTGCAGTTGGAACACAATTGTTCAGCCCCATTGAGATGACACACAATTGAAAACACCTTCATACAGCATGCTGCATGTTGGTTTCTCGGCATACAATTCAATGTATGAACAGCTAACTTCAACAGTTTCTACGCATTTTGAATTGCTATATGAAGTGCAAAAAAAAACTCCGACAACAAGCAGCAAACTCGACATGATGATTAAACGTGGTGCAGAACAAATGTCGGTCCTTCAAGTGTCTCAGCATGAGTCACCATGCCACTCTGCTTCAGTGATTCCTCGTGAGCACAAATCGGGATGTGTGGGGTAAAGTCATCAAAAACAAACATGTTTTCCAGGTCCAAGACACAATGGGGCACTGAAGTGGAATCATTTGACATTTTTCACTTCCAGCACTGGCCAACGGCCGGAAAAAACCTCATTGTAAGTCGGGTTGTGTGCTTAATCGAGTGAACGACACATAGTTTCCTGGTGATCCAAATGGAACGCTCTCGTTCTTTGCGTTGTATAAAAACGAGGTCATCCGCGGCATCCCCAAATAGTCTCGCCCTTTTCTGGTGGGACCCAAAAGGACCGAGGAGCCTCATACCTCCCGGCCGCCGCATCTTGCGCGTCACTGACCTGTCGCTGATTCTCTGGGCACCTCGGAGAGGTCGATCTCCTGCTTGAAGTTCTCATGTCGCCTCCTAAAGCCCAAACAGTCTGAACCATGGTCCACTCAAGAAAATAAACCGAGATGTATCCCCTACAAATCCAAGTGCACTCTCAGAAGGTACTTGGACCCTCCAAACCTACATGACAGTGTTTCCAGTCACAATCTGAGAAACCCTAGGGATAGGGATATATTGGTATAAATATACACCCAACCCCACCACCGATAATCACCTTTTGGGCACCATGTGCTACACCGAGTTTGTGCCAGGCTGCCAGATGGGAGAGAAACACAAGCCCATGAAGGCATGGATGCATTGCAATACATGAGGTGGATGCACGCGAGAGACGGGAGCTTTTTTGCAGCCCCAAATCACAACGCAAATGGACCCGCACGCAAATTGCATGACTGAATGCACGGCTTTACGTTTTGATTTCGGTGGATACCTTCGTCAACCACCATGCCCGATCTATGCGGTGTGTCTCGCTTTCGCTTTCAATGTTTGTGGCCCTGCAAGCTTATATGAACTTATATGGGTGGCCACACGGACATGTTGAGGAGGAGACCATGTGACCTTGTCCTTGATCACTTTCTTCTTTTTGCAGTGGACTACACTACAACCCTGGAACCTTATAGCTTTTGGCTGGGTGTCCAAGTCCACTTTGTGTATCGTTGTATCGGGCCAGGCGCCCTCTTCACTGCTAGTGCTGAGCCGTTTGAGGGTCAAGGTGGCCACAGACAAGTATTCCACACTGCTCCCCCAGAGGGTGTACTTACCGTTACTTGCCTCGCTTAATGCCCTTTTTACACTTGATATCTTGTGTGACATCGGTTTTGTCAAACGTAGCTTCGTCAGCTTCGACGTCCACCCTGTCTTCCGACCTCCAAGGACGATTCGTGTTTCCTCTTTTTCTACAAGGCTTGCTGTAAAGGTTCAACCAATTGGACATGCCTTGAATCATCTTGTGGTTGACTCCCAAAAGCAACTGACCATGTAGAAGCAGCGCCACTAAGGAGGAGTAGCACAGCTTGAAAGGATTGGCGCTGTTCGCTTGAAGATGTATGATGAGGTATACCTTAGCCTTGCCGGGAATGTCTGCGTCAGCGGCTTTGCCACAACAAGGGCTGGCAGACCACTTGGGCAAAAGCTCATCTTTTTCTGACAGGGCAAGAATCTTGTCGCTGGACACCGGGAAAAGATCCTGCAACGCGCAGCGCCATTGCGATCGGTCTGTCCGAATGGAAGAAGGCGAGAGGGCTCATTTGCGACGGACTGACATACATCACCTGGATCATCACCTCCTTGTGCTCTTTGGTCTTCTTAGAAGCAGGCCTCTTCACCGCGGCGCTGCTCTATATCCAATTTGGCAAGGAACCGCGTGGTAATCTGGACATGAGCGTGAAGCGGAGAAGATGATGTCGCAGGCCTGTAACACTGTAAGAGAGACATAGTAAAGCATCTATAGCATGAATGTTGAGTACCCGATATTCACGCAGACATGACCACGCAGCCTACCCTCCTATATCTTGACATCTCCAGGCCCTTTCAAGGCTAAGAATGCAGATCTGCTTCAGCATCTTGAGTGCAAGGTCTTCAGGAACAGTTTCAGTCGATGAAGACGCTTGTTCAGGCGAAGCTACAAACTCGCCAAGACTGTTCTGGCCAAGATGGCGGCCAAGCCTTGTCTGGGATGGGCTGTTTGTACAAGAGAAGCGTCTGTAAGTCCGAGAGGCTGAAGCGAAAGGTGAGCACTCCGGAATCAAGAGGCTTCTCCATGCTGCGCTTTTATACTTGTCATAGGCCTCTTTGTCGTGTTCAGCAAGCAGACCTTTGTGAATTGATGGGCTCACCAGGAAGACGAAAGTAAAGGGCCGACATGCCGAAGACAGATGTGACAGACCAAGCACAGCGCGCATGTCAGCCGAGTTGTCCCCTGGAAAGGTTCGACGGAGTAAATTCGATGTGAATCCTGGAATCATCCTTTGGCTCATCCTCTTACTCTATCTCGTTTGTCGCATGTGCGTTCTGCAGCAGTTCCTGGCTTAGCCATATCTACTTTGTCACCGGAAGGAGACTCCCTCATGAATGTTGCCAACCCTGTGCCTAAAGTTATCCAACGAGCTTCTTGGCCAGCAGTGTTAGTAGACGTTGTTGTGCAGCGGAAGCCCACCCTCATAGAATGCCCTTCGTGGCTTTGGACACTGTCTTGGGCACTTTCTCGACTTCGCCACTGGTGACCTTGGAGAGAATGCCCGCAGTTGGTCGGACCGTGACTGCCACTGCCACAGCCGGCTACAGAGTCAGAGTGGTTCGTTGTCCGTTGAAGCTGACTTGCCCAAGCACGTTGAGGGGAGATCCTGTAGATTATGATTATGAAGATGCCATGAGCTTAACACTATGAGACCTTGACACTTGCAGTGGCAGCTCACATTGCAAGAGCAGGATGCGGGCGTCTAAACCTAGGTATGCCTGAGGATACACTTCGCTTCGGTGTGCCTGAAGTTACGCGTAGCTATGCGTAGCTATGATCAAAGATCAAAGATGCCTCGAGACTCTTGGGAGCAATCAATCTTTGATCATGCCTACATACCTACACCTAGGTATACATACAATATATGATATATACGTGTATATATATATATCAAAGATTGCTCTTAGGAGTCCTGAGGCATCTTTGATCTATTATATATATATACCTACACGTAGGTGCACGTAACTCCAAACATGTCTGAAATTCTCTGAGTACAGCATGTGCAAGCATACGTAGCACATATGCAAACGTGCTTATGCTATGTGGTACCCCCTTTCAGCTGTAAAAAAATGATCTTAATCTGTAACATTCCAATATAATCTAAAAACACTGCAAATACCAATAAAAGGAAACATGTAGTTATTGGAGGGGGTACATATATATATATATATATGTATACGTATATATATATATATATTATCTCATAATAAATAGTCTAAACATATATTAGACCAAAAAGAGAGTCCCTTAATCTATAGAGATATCGTTGGTGCAAACCAAAGGGACTTCATGTTGAGAGATAAGTTAAGGTTAAACATCCAGACCCTACAATGAGCTGTCTGCGGTTTCGCAGCTGCACGGACTTGTCCGTTATATCAAGACTCAACCCCGTGGTCCATTCTTGTTCTGCCTCCTGCTCTAAGTTTGCTTTTGCAAAGTATCTAGATTTCACTAATATTTCACTATAGTCTGATACTTTGTGCAAAAGAATGGATCGACATTGAATTCTGATGAACTTTACTGTGATTGACTTGCATCCTCCAAGCATGACAGCCGAGGTCGAAGCCTCGCTAATGCACTCGAGGCCGTGCTGATCAAGGAGCTCAACTCACGCTCGCCCTGTAAGCCGATGCAGCCGGTAGGAGAATTCCACAAGAGGAAATGTACTACGTTGAAATGGTCTTATAAATGCATTACGATCCTAGAATTCTGCGATTCTACCAGACGTGCGCTATTCCTGATTGCTGTCTGGATGTCAAGAAAATGGCCCTTAATATAATGTAGAATCTTGATTGACAACCCCCCCAAATATGGACTCCAAAATATTCCAAAAACCTCTTCAGGCCTGGGGGGTTGAAGTATGTTGAAAATTCATCAAGAGTCTACATGAAGTCTTAAGATTGGGTCTTCTCGACTGGTCTTCTCACTTTCTTTCTGACCCGAAGAGCGAATTCAGCGAACGGTTGCTGACCGCGTGAGTCAACAGCCACCGCTCTTTCCGTTTCGGCCTCAGTCAGCGGCCAAGACATGCGAGATTT